GAATAGATAATTTAATTGTACTAGTTTTGTAAGTGATCCAACAATTGTTTTTAATTCAAAACAACTTTCAAATTAGAATAATACCAGCGAATTACAAACATAAAGTGGATCTGTGACTCCACAAATTCAAACATAAAACTCAAGAAGCTAACATAAACTCTAACAAACAACAACGACCAACACAAGTGGATCCGTGACTCCTCTGTTGACTTCGCCACTATGTGCTGAGAACATGCAATGGGCATCTTCATCATTTTCTATACGATCTAGGTAGTACATGTACGTCCCCTCCGGGCTAGCATCAGTAAGCGTTATATATGGACAACGATACTCGATTTTTCTCACCGTCACGCGACGACCGCCCAGCTGCCGAAACCCGGTGTTAATTGTTGCAACCACGGTTCTGAAATTCCAAAGCGGATCTAGGTAAACACTGATTTTTTTCTCTGGCCCATACAAAACAAGAGCTTGCACAGACATCTTTTTAAATCGGATAAGTTGCCACAAATGATATTTGCTTATGTGCATACGCTTATTTATAAATAACAATTACGTTTGAGTTCGGTCATTCAGTGACCGAATGTATGTAAAAATAGTTTTTATATAAAAATAAATAAATAATTTTTATATTAAATAGTTTTTATATAAAATTAATTAAATAGTTTTTATATATAATTAATTAAATAGTTTTTATATTTAATAGTTTTTATATGAAATTAATTAAATAATTTTTATATAGAATTAACTAAATATTTTTTATATAGAATTAACTAAATATTTTTTATATTAAATAATTTTTATACAAAATTAACTTATAAATATTTATTTATTAAATAATTTTAATTATATTCACATTAACATTAATAATTAAAATTAATATATAATAAAAAAATAAACAAAAAAAAAACGTTACACTAGTTCGTCCAATGGGTTAACGAACTAGTACAGGCCCAGAAATCATTCATTGGTTCGCCCACTGCATGGACGAACTCATGCAGGGCAAATTTACTCTTCACACCCTCGTCCACTGGTTGGGCGAACACACAACAAAACAGGGCATATGTGTAAATATTTTTGAACATGGGGCATTATGGAATTTTTAATTTCAAATTAGGGCATGACAGTCAAAAACTCTAATACTCAACCTACTGCACCCATACCTGTCCAACCTATTCGAAAATCCAATAGATCCAAGCATCCTCCATCATATCTTAAATATTTTCATTGAAATCTGTTATCTACCAGTCCTCGATATCCTCCCTCCTCTTCTTCCACTCTATATCCTATCTCAAAGACATTGTCATATGACAAATAATCTCCTTCTTATAAACACTTTTGGTGCACCCTCTCCTCCACTTCTGAACCTATGACATTCCTTCAAGCTTCCAAACATGAATGTTGGAGAAAGGCTATGGATGCGGAGATGTTTGCTCTTAAGGATAACCAAACTTGGATTCTTGTGGATATTCTTATAAGTAAAGTTTCAGTTGGTTGCAAATGGGTTTATAAAATCAAGTATCATGCCAATGACACCATAGAAAGGTACAGGGTTAGGCTAGTGGCCAAAAGTTGTACTCAACTTGAAGGTGTGGATTATTTTGATACATTTTCCCCTGTTGCTAAAATTACAATTGTCAGGGTTTTATTGTCTATTGCAGCCATTAAGCATTGACATCTTGAACAACTTGATGTCAGCAATGATTTCCTACATGGGGATCTTAATGAGGAGGTCTATATGTCTCTCTCTCCTGGCTACAGTGTTCCTGGTTCTAACAAGGCATGTAAGCTCACCAAGTCCTTATATGGCTTGAAGCAAACCATCAGGCAATGGCATTCCAAGTTATCTTTTGTTGTGCTATCCTTTTTTCATAGTCAAACTACGAGTGCGCTAATTTCTCATTCTCGTCCGAATGAGCATATGTAGGCACAAGGGCCCCAATCCTTGGCGAGCACCCTAACCTAAAACCACCCATTTCCCCTTATCATCGATTCCTTTTCCTTTTCACTTTACTCATTTAAGAAAACAAATAAGCTTAGCTAACATTCATCACAATTCGAACTAAGAGGTTCCCGTTGAGTACAACGGACGTAGAGGGGTGCTAATACATTCCCTTTACGTAACCGACTCCCGAACCCAGAATGTGGTTGCGATGACCATGTTCTTATCTCTTTAAAGGTTTTCTCTATATTTTCCTTTCCCTCTTTGGGATAAATAAAGCACACTCCACGCCTATCCAAAAAAAGCACACTACACGCCTATCAGATGAATTATTAGCTTGTGTTGAAATGCTTGAGAAATTATGATCTTTATGGCATTCATACGAAAGACTGAAACTAAATGCCTTATTATAGTCAATCTTAGCATTTTTACTCTAGTCTTTCTTTTTTGCTAGTCTTGTATCATATCTTTTGACTTTTCCTTTGACATTCTTCTTTGACTTGAACATTTTCTTCACGCTTGTATCCTTATGTTCTTTTAGAAGCAAAATGAGTTCTCATGTATCCTTCTTCTTCATGGATTTTATTTATTTGTTCATTTATTTTCTTGATCTCTCATTTTACAGATTTTATTCAAAGTTTATTGATTCATAATTTGAATAAAGACATAATAGTATAGGATTATTCTTACCTTCAACTTCTTCAGAGATATCTTTCAGCCTTCGCAGCTATAATTCCTTTGTGTTATCATAAATATCTTGAATACTTCACGTACGTGTCACTCCTCTTTCACTTGTAGTGCCTCCAAAAGTGGAAGGTGTTGGTGAGTGAGACTCTTGTTGAACTTCTCTAGATATTTCTTATTCAAATTGTAGAAAGAAACTATATTCTTTTTTCTGAATGACAAAGTTTCATTCGTCTTCTTCATCAAAGACCACATCTCGAGTGATTACAAACCTGTTGTTATTTGGGTTGTACATCTTGTACCCCTTTAAGCTTCGGCCAAAACCGACAAAGATGAATTTCTCGATCTTGTCGTCAAGTTTGGTTCTTTTCTCATTTAAAATATGAACATATGTTACACTTTCGAAGACCCTCAAGTGTGAGTAACAAGCTTTCTACCACTCCATACTTCTTGCAGTGTCTTTCAACATACACTTCTAGTTGAATATTAATTTGATAGATATATTGTACACGCCACCGCCTTTACCCAAGTTATTTTGACAATTTCTTACTTTTGAGCATGCTTTGAGACGTGCCAAGAGTCGTTCTATTTTTCTTTCTACAAGAACATTTTGTTGGGGAAATATTAGAACAATTAGTGGATGTCTAATTCCATTCTCCCCATAGAATTCTTGAAATTCCTTTGAAGTGAATTTACTTCTTCGATCTATTAGTGTAGCTTTTATCTCTCGACCAATTTCTTTTTTCACAGCATATTTGAACTTCGTGAAGGTAGTAAATACTTATAATTTCTACTTTAAGAAATAAATCCAAGTTTTTCTTGAAAAAGCATTAAGGAAAAGAAGGAAATAATAGTTTTTTCCTAGTGAGCTTAGTTTATTGGCCCACACACATCAGCATGTATAAGCTCGAGTGGCTTCTTGGATCTTGAGTTTTACTCCTTTGAAAAACTCACCCTAAATAGTTTTCTAAGATAACATCCTTTGCATAATTGGTCTGAATGATTGATTGGCAGTAGACGTCTCACCATATTTTATTTTGTCATCAAACTTAAGCCTCTAAATTTTAAGTGTTCAATTCAAAGATACCAAAGTCATGACAGATCAGTGTAGCACGCTTTGAGACATTTTTCCATGGCGTTTTGAATATTTAACATGAACATCTTATTCCTCGACATTTTTACCTTTGTAGTCGGATTATTTTTTTCATCATTGATGAAAAGACTTAAATCTTTCATGAGAATATCATAACCCTTTTCTAAAAGTTGTACCAAACTCAATATTGCTCTTCATGTTTAGAATGTAGTAAACAGTTAAACTAAATTGATGTCTTCCATTTTTTAAAATAATATATTGCCTTTTCCTTTTACTATATAACCGTGAAATCATCAACAGATGATACATTTTCATTGATTGGTTCATCATATGTTCACGAACATGCTCTCTTTTGCACACATATGATTGATTGCACCTTTTCCTTTTACTATGTAACCTTGGAATCGTCAACAGATGATATATTTTCATTGATTGATTTATCATGTTCTAAGAACATGCTTTTTTTTCCACACATATGGTTGATTGCACCGGTCTAAAGGTACCATGAATTTTCTTGACTATCTTCATTATTTTCATGCATTGACAACAGTGTTTCAAACTTCTCATCATTTCCTTTCACATAATAGACCTTCATCTCGACTTTATTAATTAAAGATCTATATATTCTCGGGCGTAATGGTCAAACTTCTTAAAAATTGCATTTCTTAAAGCTAAAAACATCACGAGTATGTAAATCAAAATAAAATATATCATTTAGTTCCTAGCTTGAAACCAAGAAAGAGGCATTTTCTAGCCTAGGATCAAGCTTAGTTCCATGGAAAAGCAAAGTAGAGGCTAAAGATAAACAATCAAACACGTTTAGATCATCAAATCTGGGAGGCATGTAATGGACTTCCTAGATTTATGTTAGTTAATATTTAATATACACTATTTAGTTTTCACAAGTGGTAAAATTAGGACCTCCCACTAAGAAGTACTGATGTGCATATTCTATCCAATTGTAATCCTACTCTGCTTTCACTAGCTCAATCTTATTCATTTTCTTCATCAAATTAAAACCCCACTTCTTGACCTTTACATGTAAAAAGACTCCATTTGACACAATACATACTCATCAATGTTGCTCAGTTTCTTCATCAAATTATAAAACCTCACTTTTTAACCTATAAAATACATGTACATGACTCAATTTGACTTCATGTATATTCAAAGGAAAAACGCTCTCTAATTTAATAGTTAACTAACATATACCTTTCAGATATACTCAAAAAGTTACTTTGATACAAAATTGTGAAATGGAAAAGAAAGATAAGAAACTCTTCATCACAGATCATGTGTATTTCCCTTTATGTGTCTCTTATGAGTAACAAGGAACCTGGGCAAAAACCGTTGTACAGAATACGGAAAACCAAAAAACCTTACAAGATTTTGACAATCCTTCTTTCCGTCTCCATTATACGCTTGCGAACTTAGGTGACTCAAGTAAGTTTCCCCCTCGTAAATAAATCGCAGCTGCTGCCATAGAAGAACACTCAACCCTAACATCATTGAAATACTAGCAATAAATAGATAAACAAGAATAAACCCTCTGGTGGATAGAAGCAGCACAGATCTCAGGAAGGCAAAAAAAGTTTCTTTGACAATTCTCCAAGCTAGAATTTCATTAGTGGTCCCATTTATGCGTCCGATGGAGTATGTCAATGGTGGCCACATATGCAAGCCAGCATGTGCAGACACTAAGGAAATATAGATGGTGCTGAACAGTCCTGATATAAGGAAGGCGATGAAGCTGCGGTGATTAGACGCTCCGACACAGTTCCCGATCTGCCAAAGGATTACAAAACAGTTACCGGATTAAGATTAAGATAGTTTACACACAAAATTAGAGTGGTGGTCATCACATCATGAAAATTGAAATTGCTATTTAAAAGATGATGGAAGCTTACAAATGGGCAGTGGTGATCCATGTCTAGTATACATTTTCCACACGAGCGACAGTGATGAGTTCTGGGCGACTTCGGTTTTGAGCAGTAGTGACAGAAGGTATAATTTTCAAGGTCACCGTTCCCTACAGTGGGGTAGCTTCCCCACACTAAGTTTGGAGGTGTGCCGGCACATCGAAATGCTGAAAGGCTGAAAGAGGAAATGGTAGATACGGCCAAGGTCACTGTAATGATAGAGTGTAAAATCCCTAAAAGACTGAAAGAATATACGAAGGGATAAATTGCCCACACCCCGCCAACTGCACAAAAGAAATTAAACTGAATATGTAAGGAAAGTGTAAAATAATGCAGTAGGAACTAGAAGCAACAGTGGCTTACATATTAGAAAGAGCATAAACATGAAGACCATAGTAAGAATGCATCGATCACGCAGTAGTCTCCATCTATGGCCCTGCTTGTCACAATTCTGTTTGCTCTGATTTGTTATGGCCCCACACCAGCCACATTTGAAGACTGGCGCATGAGATGGAAGCAAAAGATGCAGTCCACAACCCCAACATGTTGTCTCATAATTCTCGGGAGCCACAGTTACATGTTGCTCCTGTATGTGGCTTACATAAGCAACTTATACAAATTTTCAAACTGTACAAAATAATGCACATTAAAACATTAACAACTTCTTGAATTTAGTGCTTATAAGCTATAAGCTTTCAAATGGCCACGTGTTGAATGAACGCTTGATTATGTTGTTTAGCCAAACGCTCACTAGATTTCACCCCTTCCTCCAAATTAGAAGTTAACTCTATTCTCTAATGCAACTTAAAGAGTCAAATATGCCACAAGTAAATTGTTGATCGAAAACAATGACTTTACCATATCATGTAGCAAAACTTAAACAACTTTCCATCATCTATACTCTACAAAGAGGTATGATGTGAAAATCAAATCTTCTTTTACCACCATATTTGTCAAGCTGTCAAACAAGCATATTGCAAGGGGAATCGTCAACCCGAACACAATGCCCCAATATCATGTAGACTGGATAACTACCTAATTTTTCTCAATTAACTTCTAATTGATATTTGGATTGTGTTGTAGGCAACAGAAAGACTATTTTGCCAAACTCACGGATAACCCAAACATGCATAGCGTATGTTTGGTTTAACTTTTGAAAGAGTCAAAAGCAACTCTAAATGTATAGAACTGATTTTGGAATGATTTTGAGGTGCTTAGTTCTTCTAATGAAGAATTGATTCTGATTTTGGAATTGATTCTACTTGAAACTAAGATTTGCAACTTTTGAGTTTAAACGTGATTTTCACATTGAAATGTATAGTTCAACTCACTTCTACATAAATTTATCCAAACATAAATCACTTTACCTTTAATTCACTTTTCGCTAGAATTCTACATAATCAATTCATTCAAAATCAATTGTTTTCACCGCAGAACCAAACACAAGCTTAGTGTATGTCTGATTTCACGATAGTAGCACTTAGAATTGATTTTGACATCTTTGGTTGCTCTAGAGTAGAATTCATTTTGCTTTTCAAAATTGATTCTACTTGAGGGTAGGTTTTGTAGCTTTTGAGTCTAAACCTGATTTTTACCATTCATATCACTTTTGCAAAATTTATCCATACATAAATTACTTTATCTCCGACTCCCTTTTAGCCAGAATTAATCCACTTGAAATCAAAATTTTCACGCTTAATTGAAGACTTTTCAACAAAACTAAATCCTAAACAACATCATTTTTTTACCAAGCAATTGGTAATCTTTTCGATTGAAAGATTCATTGTCATCCAAGTAACAATTCAAATTAGAGAGATGCATAAGAAATAAAAGTTGGATTATGAAAGAAATACCTGGGTTGAAGAAGCTGTGAAGTTTGTTGGTTTTGCTACTACTCCTATTTTGGTTGGAGCAATTTCCTCATTCATTACTGAGAAAACAAGTTGTTGACGATGGGTACAAATTACAATCGAAACCGCGTTAATTGCGCAGCTTCATTCACCTTCTCCTTCAAATCACTACTTCTGCTCCTACTATACACAAACACAGCAAGATGAACAAGAAAAATCGCTAACAATCAAATTAGTAAACACCGCTAATGAAATTTTTATGTTAAACTATTTTAGGAAATTCTTAGATACTATTTTCTTGTTGAAAATGGAATCAAGATATAAAGGAAAATTATTATTAAAATGTGTGACTTTTTCTTTTTCAAATATTTTGTCACCTAGGTTTGATTTATAGAATGTTATAGCCTTATATATATATAATTTATTTAGTATTTATATAGACTAAGAAATTCAAAAATACTATGTATCAATAATTTATTCAAAAAAAGGGTTTTTAAGAAAGATGAAATAAGAAGAAGAGAGAAAAGAGAGATAAACTATAAACTGAATTGTGAAAATTAGAATTCGTATATTGAGTAAAATTCTACTTGTTTACATCATACAAAGCCTTTTATATAGTTAACAAAAGCCCAAGCTCAAAACTCTACAATTCGACTCATGCCTAAAACATTTCGACATGTCAATTAAATGTTGTATTCGACAGAGTCGAATACAGCTTATTCTTATACCTCTGACTAGTTATTTCAACATAATGAAATTCTAGCTTTCGACGGAATATTGAATTACAACTTCTAACGCATCCCCCTAATTCATGTTATCGAGACTTCTCATTCTGATACTTCTTTTCAACTCCTCGAACCTGACTTTCTTCAGAGGTTTTGTGAGTATGTCAGTTGGTTGTCATTTTGTCTTGCAATGCTCAAGTTCAAGTTTTCCTTTGATAAATTGATCCCTCAGAAAATGATATCTCATTTCTATGTGCTTACTTCGACCATGACACATTGGGTGGTTCGTCGGGTCAATAGTTGACTTATTGTCAACAAACGACTTCATTTTTCTATGTTCCATTATCTTGAGCTCTTAAAGCAACATCTTAATCCATGCTGCATACGATGCATCCACGTACTCAGTTTTACATGATGAGAAAGCCACAATGCTTTGCTTCCTTGAACTCTAAGAGATTAGAGCGCATTCATTATAAATATGTAGTCTGCAATATTCTTCTATTCGTCTTGATCTTCACTGAATCTGAATCAGTGTAGCCATATTCTTTTGCTTTTTTGTTGGTCTTCTTTTACCTTGGCATCAACACACCATGATTAACCATACCATTTATGTATCTCAACACTCTCTTAACTGCAGTGAGATGGAATTGGTAGGGTCTTTCCATGAACCTACTTAACAATCCAACATTTTGAATAATGTCTGGTCTGGTATTGCAAAGATACCTCAAAGATCCAATGATTTGTTTGTATAGTGTAACATTTAGAAATTCTTTATTTGTCTCCTTCATTAACTTTGCTCCAATTTCTAATGGTGTATCAGATGTATTACATTTTCTCATCTTGAACCTTTTCAAGATACCTTGGACATACTTCTTTTGGTGCATGAACACTCCTCCACACGTATCTATGAACTCAATCCCTAAGAAATATGACAACTTCCCTAGGTTGGACATTTCAAACTCTTGCATCAGCTTCGACTTGAATTTTCTTATCTTTGCTTCATCTACACCTGAAATTAACAAATCATCTACATACAGGCATACCATGATTAGATTGTCACTAGTCTTGCCTTATGCTTTGCAATTTTTCCATTCGGCCTTCATTTCAACTTGTAAACCCATTTTGTGTCAATTGGCTTCTTGGTTGACTTTTCGACGAGCTCCCAAGTCTCGTTCTTCTCAATTGACCTGAGTTCTTCTTTCATGGTTGCTAACCAATTTGAATCACTCATGGTTTGATCCAAATTGATTGGTTCGTCCTCAGCCATCATCATCGTTTCTTATATTATGTCACCATCTAAATCAACTGCTTGATATAGAAATCTCTCAAATCCAACTAGCCTTGTCGACTTACTTCTTACTTTAGTTGATCTTTTAACATTTTGTGCAGGTGATACTTCATTTTGGTTGGTTGGGACTTCACTTTGTTGATCTTCCTCAAACAAAATTGTAAATGTATTTGACTCCTACTGAACTGACCATGACTTCAATTCCGCCTTTTGATTTCATCCACTAGAATCTCGACTAATCACTAGTTTATCATCATTTGGTGAATACAGCTCGTATGCACCATTTGAATGATAACATATGAGCATCATAGTCTTACTTTGATCATCTAGTTTCTTCCTCAATTATTCAGGTACATGCCTGAAGCACATTGATCTAAACACTCTAAGATGACTAACATTTGGCCTCACACCTGTCCAAGCCTCATATGGTTTCTTCTAGGCCATCTTCTTGGTTAGACATCTATTTAGAATGTATATTATTGTTGAACCTGATTCAGCCTAAAATCTCTTTGGAATATCTTTAGCTTTCAATATGCTCCTAGTCATGTTCAATATACTTAGATTCTTCCTCTTAGCTATTCCATTATGCTGAGGTGTATAGTGTGCAATGACCTCATGCTTTATACCTTCCTCATTGCAAAATCTAGCAAATTCTCGAGAAGCGTATTCACCACCATCAGTTCTCAATTTCTTCAACTTGCACCCACTTTGCTTTTTGACATGCAATTTGAAATTCTTAAATTGTGTTAATACCTCTCTTTTCATTTCAATAAGATAAATTCACATATATCAAGTGAATTCATCTATGAAGGTTAAGAAGTAGTAGTTACCTTCATTCGAACTCACATCAAATGGTCAAGACGCATTAGAGTGAACTAACTCTAGCTTTTCCTTCGACCTCATTGATAAGTCATGCTTGAATGCTTTTCTAGTATGTTTTGCTTTGCAACATTCCACAACCGACTTGGTTCTTTCACTTGAGGTAAGCCATACACCATATTCTTTTGGTTGAGCATACCTAAACTTCTAAAGTTTAGATGTCCACACTTATAATGGCATAGCCAGTTCTTATCTTATTTTGCATTCTAAACAAAACACTTGTGATCAACTGGTTTTATGTCTACTTTGAAGGTCCTATTGTGTGCCAAGGGTGCCTTCAGAATAAGCCTTTAATCACTATAATACACCTTCATATGATTCTTTTCTATCTTTATGTTGTACCTTTTTGCAAGTAATTGACTTACACTTATTAAGTTACTTGCCATTGATGGTACATATGACACATCAATGATGATGGCTTTTTGACCATCCTTCTTGACAATAGAGATATCTCCTTTTCCACCTGACGTGATGTGCCTACCATCTGTAAACTTTATCACTTTCTCAACTGATTCATCTAGCTTAGTGAAGCAAGTTTCATTACCACTTATGTGGTTATTGCATCCTGAATAGAGGTACCACGTGTTAGTTTGCTCAAATTTTGACTGAGTGTTTGTCATGAGTAGCACATCATGATAATCATTATCTTCAGCATGTGCATATTGCACTTCATCACTATGTTTTTCCTGTGCTTCCTTCTTTCTTCAACAGTCTTGAGCATAGTGACCAAATCTTTGACAATTGTAACACTGCACCTTATTCATGTCAACTTTCTTCCCATTATACTTGTTGCTCATGCCTTTCTTGATCGAATCAGAGTGGTTTTTTGAGTTCTTTCTTGATTTCTTATCATTAGCAAGATTCTTTCCCTTCTCTTTCCCAGATTCCTCGATGAATATTGCTTGTAATGCTTGTTCAGCCACTTTCTTTTTTCTGAGTTCCTCTGCTTCAGCCTTATCTCATGAGCCTCTAATGAAGCTTGAAGTTCTTTGAACTTCATCTAAGTTAGATTCTTGGACTCTTCAATTGACACAAAAATATAATGAAACTTCATAGTCAGAGATCTCAACACTTACTCAATCTTCTGCAAATCATTGATTGATTCACCATACGACTTCATTTGGTGCATTAACAACACCACGTATGAAATATATTCAGAGGCTGATTCATCTTCCTTCATATGAGTCGTCTCAAATTGCTTTCTCAATGTCTATAATGTTTTTGTAGGTATTAGTGTTGCAAGAGCATGGAGGGCTAAGTTGATAGCAAAGACGGTAATTGATGGTGATGTTGATAAGAAGTATGCAACTCTATGGAGGTATGCAGCTGAGATGAGAAGGGTTAATACTGGTAACACTGTGAAGATAAATGTTGAAAGACCATGTTCATCCATCCAACCTAGGTTTGGCTCATTTTACTTTTGTTTTTATGGTTGTAAATAAGAAAGGTTTTATAAATGGGTGTAGACCATTTGTTAGGGTTGATGGTTATCACCTGAAGACAAAATATGGTATACAGCTACTAATTGTTTTGGGTATGGATCCCAATGATCAATACTTCCCTTTGGCATTTGGTGTGTTTGAAACTGAAACAAAGGAGAGTTGGAAATGGTTCATACAACTATTGATGGAAGATATTAGACAAGAGAGAAGATGTGTGTTTATCTCTGATCAATAAAAGGTATGGAATTAACCTCAAGTATTCTATAATATTGCATCAAATGTATATGTTGGTTCTATACTTATTGATGCACTTTCTTATATTCTGGTTCTGGGGGTGGTGGCTGTGTTTGAGGAAATGTTTGATAGAATTGAGCATAGATTATGTATCAGACACTTGTATGCAAATTTCAAGAAAAGGTTTGGTGGTGGAACCCTTATAAGGGATTTGATGATGGGAGCTGCTAAGGCCACATACTATAAAGGATAGGTCCAAAAGATGAATGACTTGAAGAAGGTAAATATGAATGCTTGGACTTGGTTAATGGTTGTTCCTACCAAATGTTGGTGTAAGTATGCCTTTAGTTTTTACCCTAAATGCGATGTATTGATGAACAATATTTCTGAGTCTTTTAATGCTACAATTATATTTTCTAGAGATAAGCCTATCCTTACTATGTGTGAATGGATTACAAATTATCTTATGAATAGGTTAGCAACATCTGCCACCAAACTTGAGAAATGGCA